GCAGTTCTAAACTATCCATACCAAAAATTTCAAGCCTAGTACCATAAGGTATTCTATTATGGACAGAAAAGTGCAAGACTTTTCTTGTGAAGTACTTCTGAACTCATTTGATTGTATTAATGTCCATATGTGGTAAGGATTTCACATTACTACCTGTAGTAGACTTTCTACGAGTTAAATACAATAATAGATTGGTAACAGAAGATTTTAAACTTTAATTCTGTTGTTGCTTTATTTGTTAAATATATATAGTAGATAGATGACAGGTCAAATAATGCAAATAGATGTAGAGGTTTTAAATGTTGGGCCTGCTTCATAAGGGGGTAAACTAATATTGTTGCAATATATTGATCAATATAGAATAGAATAGAATAGAATAGAATAGAATTGGAATTGGAATTGGAATTGGAATTGGAATGGAATAGCATAGCATAGCATAGCATAGCATAGCATAGCATAGCATAGCATAGCATAGCATAGCATAGCATAGCATAGAATAGAATTCTTTATTGGCCAAGTGTGATTGGACACACAAGGAATCTGTCTTGGTGCAAATGCTCTCAGTATACATAAAAGATACATTCATCAAGAATCATAAGGTACAACACTTAATAATAGTCATAGGGTATAATAAGCAATCAAATTATACTAGGAAACAGTCAATATAGATCATAAGGATACAAGCAGGGGTGGGATTCTACCGGTTCGGACTGGATTGATAGAACCAGTTGTTAGGATTCTCCATAGAACCAGTAAATCAGACCTCTGGCTGGCCCCGCCCCTCTCCGCATGCTTCTCCACTGCCACCCCGTCAATCCTAATCACGCATGTGCAACATTGCACGCATGCGCAACACTGCTGCCTGCAGCCTGCTCTTGTGCACCCACCAGGCCAGCCATTGCTGCCTGCCTTCTGCTGTGGCCCTGCCTTTACAGATCTCCCTGGGTGAGTGAGGATCTGCAAGCCCCGGTCGCCTTCCCCCCCCAGTTGCCTTTTGCTGCCACCACTGGTCGCCTTTCCCCCACTACTTGCCTTCCACTGGGGAACACTTGTATAGGCTCCGGCCAAGTCAGCAGCTGCTTCTCTTACCTGCTGCTGTTGCTGGGAGAGCAAGAGTTTCCCAGCACAGTAGAAAGTTTCCAAATCCCCCTCCCATTAGAAACAGCTCCTGGGCAAGCAGAGAAGCAAGCTAGGTTAAATCCTGCTTCTCTCTGCTTGCCCGGGAACCGTTTCCGATGGGAGGGGGACTTGGAAGCTTTCCGCTGTGCTGGGAAACTCTTGCTCTCCCAGCAACAGCAGCAGGAAAGAACACGTGGAGAGGCTCGTATTAGCAAGGCGTCCCTTGATTGAGTCCAGGACAGCTGATGGCAGCTGCGGGGAGCAGAGCTTGGAAGCCCCAATGCACCATGTGTGCGGCTGCATGGATGGTGGGGGGGGACTGGTCCCGGAAGCCCCAGTGCCGCCGGAATCACCATTGCCGCCTCGCTGTTGCTGCATCCCCCACCCCCTGCAGGTATGGTGAGTGTGAGCCCTGGGTTGGGTGACTGACCAGCTCAACTGCTGCTCCCACTTACTGTTTCCATGCCAAGAGTGGAGGCAAGAGAGAGAGCAGCCCTCTTGATATGGAGAAAAGTTGCACGTCTCCCTATATTCCTCTCTCCACAAGCAGCCTCTTGCAATACCTTTAAACTTAGCGTGCTTCACAAATGAGGAGGAGAGGGTGGGGCTGCTCACGGAGAAAGGAATATGGGGAGATGCACAACTTTTCTCCCCGCTGAGCTGCTCTTGCCAGTGACTCCAGTCTGTTTTGCTCAACTAAGACTAGATCAGGGGTCCCCAAACTTGGCAACTTTAAGACTTGTGGACTTCAATTCACATAATTCCTCAGCCAGCTTTGCTGGGAGTTGAAGCTTTTCTGGGAATTAAAGTCCACAAGTCTTAAAGTTGCCAAGTTTGGGGACCTCTGGACTAGATTATCAAGGAAGAGAGAATAACATGCAGCAGATGCCTAGCAAAATTCAGTAATACTGCAGATTGGCTGTTCACATTGAAATCAGGTGCAAGATAGTGATGGTGGGTAAATTATTGGGCAGTTTAGTTTGCTATTTATTTCAGTAGGCTGATTTTAGAAAGCTAAACAGGATCAGACCTGGTAAGTACTTGTCTGGGAAGCAGGGGTGGGATTCAAATTTTTAACAACTGGTTCTGTGGGCGTGGCTTAGGTGGTGGGCATGGCTTGGTGGTCATGTGACTGGGTGGACATGGCTTGGTGGTCATGTTATTGTGGCCAACTCAATATCACTCACATTGAGGCACGCATCTCTTCACCTGGCCTCTCATGACTGGGGATGCTGCAACAGTCGTAAGTGTGAAAAATAGTCATAAGTCACTTTTTTCAGTGCGATTGTAACTTTGAATGGTCACTCCACACAAGCAAAGTACCAGCAAAGGAGGGTAAAAAAACTCCAGAGATGTTCCTGAGACAGGAAGTCTAGTCCTGCCAAGAATGTAATAAGGCTTAACGGAGAGGCAGATTCTGTAAGCAACACCAGAATGTTTCCTTCCTGCCTTACAGGATAAGGCCAGTAATTTCTTTAACAACTGGTTCTCCGAACTGCTTAGAATGTTAACAATGGTTCTAGCGAATAGGTGCGAACTGGTAAAATCCTACCCCTGCTGGGAAGCCAACACAAAATAGGGTAAGGGGAGGAATGGGGTTGGGAAGGAAAGAAGGAAGATAGGATAAGATAACTTTTATTGTCATTTTTTTACTGTAAGTACACTGGCACACATTAAAAGTGATATATACACAAATCCATACATATACATAACACACATATACACGTTACACACATACACACACATAAAATCATTGCCCATTTTGAATATATAGCGGAAAGGAAGAAAGAGAATTGGATACATATACACAAATGTGTGTGAAAAAACTGCAAAGAAATAAGATTATAAAAAACAGCTTCCAATCTTAGCAGTTATAGATGAGAGAGAGAAAGAGAAATGAGAAACAGAGAGAGGGAGAAAGAGAAAGAAAGATGAGGAAGAAAGAGAAAGAGATGAGAGAGAGAGAGAGAGAGAAGAAAGAGAGAGGGAGAAAGAAAGAGAAAGAGATACTTGTTTAAAAGAAAATAGAAAAATGGCTCTTTGAGTGTTTAAGATTGCAGACTCCTGGGTTAGGCAAACACCATGGTCATTAAGTGAACCTTGTGTCATTAAGCAACTGGTTGTTAAAGAAGTCCATTTCCCCAATGGGCATTTTTAACCAGAAACCAAAAGGAATTGTTGGAAACTGGCAAAAAAACATAGAAAACCTCAGTCACAAGACTGTGTGGGATGTTGTAACTGGTCATAAGTGTCTGGGGGGGGGCTGTCAAAACACCAGAAATAGGTCAAGTAGCTCTGGGGAGGTCAGTCGTAAATTAGAACACTTGCTAAGCAACTGGCCATTAAGCGAGGAGCACTTATATTTCATTTTCCAGTCATGGCCACCTAGCTACACCCACCCTAATCACATGGCCACCTAGCCACACCCATCCATCACATGACCACCTAGCCACGCCCACCCAAGTAACGTGACCACCTAGCCACGCCCAGTCAGTCACAGGACCTCCTAGCCATGCCCATTCAACAAGCCACACCTACCCAGTCACATGACCAAGCCACACCCACAAATTAGGCCACGCCCATAGAACCAGTTGTTAAGAAATTTGAATCCCACCCCTGGATACAAGCGACAAAGTTACAGTCATACAGTCACAAGTGGGAGGGGATGGGTAATAAGGAGTGATGAGAACGTTAATAGTAATAGTAGTCAGACTTTGTAAATAGTTGGACAGTGTTGAGGGAATTATTTGTTTAGTAGAGTGATGGCATTTGGGGAAAATATTAATTTGGGGGATGTAATATATGTATATTTTTTTGCCTTTTGCGCCTTTTAGTTTACTTTTTTAAATGTTGGCTTTTGTGCCTTGTTTTTGTAAAAAAATCTTTCTTTTGGAGTTTGTATTTTAATTTTCTGAATAAAAATAAAAATTACTGTTAAAAAAAGTTATCACAGAATCCAGGATTCCATGGAACACAGTTTGAGAAACCCTCATCAAGGAAGTTATGATTTCTTAAGTGGTTAGCTGGGAAAGTTAAGACATCCATGGCCTTGGTAAATTTTTGCTATATTTACTCCGAAAAATAAAAAGAAACCAAAATGATAGTAATGACTGATCTTGCAGAAAGCATGATGATTAATTTCTATATCCCACATTTCAAAATAAAAAAACCTTTCTGTTTTCCATGAAACATTTCAAATCTATGTGTATGCTTTGCCATGATGCAAGATTATCTTATATCACATTATAGTCAGCTGAAATCCAGTGGATTGATAGAAATGATTAAATTTGGATTTAAATGAGATTTCTTTAAAATAGTGTGAATAGCATCTAAAGTAGAAGCAGATAACAGCAGACAGAACAACCCTTTTCTAAATAAAGCCATTGCGAACAACAATGGGATGTGTCATAGAATTAGAAATAGCTCATAGCTTAATTTTAGAACTAAATCACTGTTCTAAAAGTTATTGATTTTTTCCAAGCTAGAACCATGTGGAGCACAAATTTCATAAATTATGATTTTCCAAGAATTATGACAAAGATATGTGGGAAGAATGAGATTTGGGGAAATGATTAACCTTTGGCTAACTAAATTTATTTTAATAATAAGGGAAAGATTCAAATTATTCTATATGACATTGCTAGGCAGATAAGCCAAAAATCAAAGCCATATGCCTGTAGAGGGCATGGAAAATATTACTAACAACAAAACTGCACGAATATTTGAAATATTAGAATACATAATGAGAAATGACGGATTAGAATAAAAGTTGGAAATAAAAATTCTTGAAAATTGAAAGCGTTGTTGAAGTTGAAAGGCTTTCTAAAATATATTGGGAATTTTTTTTTGTAATAAAGTTTATTTTATTTTATTCTACACATACACATCAATACATTAATTGTGTGGCATCAATATATCATACATTTTAATATAGGCAAATTTAATAATACCAATCATATCTCTTATTACCCTTATTCACATTAAATCAAAATCCTTCTTTGCTTACTTTCAACATTTCAATACTCTCCTAATGCCACCATATCAGTTGGACATACCTAGTAATTTCATTATTCAATTTCCTCCTCAATTTTTTTAAATAAAAAATTCTCATTTGGCAAGCAGTATGGTTCCAGGTTTCACATCTTTACAAACATGACCATATTTACTTATTCATTTTATTTGTTCAATTTCATATCACATTAACCTTATTAGTATTAAATATTGAACTTATCCAATTCCAATTCATATTATAACTTATTTCCTTAGAATATTTTCATATCTTATTTTACAGTGTTATTTAGAATTCTCATCTCGTTTCTATGTTCATTTCCCATATTATCTTTTTCTGTCATATTTGTAGTTTTATCAGTTCTTAATTTATTAATTCAAGATTGTCCTTTCTAATTATTAATTCGAGCCAGCCACCTTCAATCTAAATACCATCTCCCTATTTACTATAACACACACACACACACACACACACTTATCAGATTCTGCATTACATTTTCTCAATCACCTTATAAATCATCTATACATTACATATTAGTCTAATCATTTAAGTATAGCAACTGATATTAATAGATCATAATAGATCTCATTTCAACATCTTTCCCCCTTTTCTTGTACCTCTTTAGTCATCAATTACTATATATTTTTATTATAAATTCCATATAGCAATAATTATTTAATAACAGGAAAGAGAGAGAAAGAAAAGAAACTAAAGAGAAAAAATCCCACCAGTTATATACTTATCTATTTTCAATACTAATGCATATATATCACAACTTATTACCTTGCGGAATCTCCTTCCTATCCTCTTTTTTTTTCACCCATTGTCTCTCACTCTTTTAACAATATAGTTTCTTTTCATCCTCGTTTGCTTCCTGTTTCTGTTTATTTTCTGGTCCTTTCTTTCAATTCCCTTTTCCCCCATTCTTATTCCTCTCCATTTCTCAGTCCAATTATTAACTTTTCCTCCCTCCCTCCTTTGGTTTTTCTTTTGAACTTCCCTTTTCAGTTTTTTCCCCTCTCCTTTTTTTCATTTTCGGAAGCATTTTCCCTTTTATCACTTCAGACCACACATTTTTAATTTTAACTCCTTTCCCCCTCTGTTTAAATAATTGTTGATCCCTTTGTTCTTCAAAGCTGGCTTCTTCTTTGTTAGTCTTCTCCCCCTCTGGTTTACCTTGTTCTTCTACAAACTGGGTCGCCATTTCTAGTTTTTGTAATACATAATTACACATTTCAAGTCTAATTTTCATCATTTCCCTTATGTCTTGCAAGTCTGATCTCATTTCAACAAGTAATTCCTCCATTGTATCTTCTCCTTTTTCTTTTTCCTCTTCTCTAATTGGTGTATTCAGTCCCAAAGTCCAGTATATTATTTCAGCCAGTGTCTTTTAAATTTATTTTCAACAATCAATGTCCTTGAATCTTTGTTTCAAGTCTTCAAGAGGGCCCATTCCCAACTCTTTCCCACAATCACTGGGTGGTTCTATGTCAATATTTTCAAGTATCTTCCCCTTTGTAGTGTTCTAATGTCATTTTCCAGGGTTTTTATTTTTTATAATGGAGTTTCTTTTACTTTCCTTTAAGTTTCAAAGTCCAGTTTCTTAGAAAGACCAAGCACTTTTTAAAAAAAAGGTCACTGAAGTTTTTCCTGTACCATCAGGTGGCGCTCTTGAGCCTTTTCCACAGTCCACTCCTTCCTTAACTTTAACTTTCTTTGTTAAATATAGTACTTTTATTTAATTCACTAATTTCAATCATTAGCTATTTTTTCTTTTCATTTCAACACACTCAATTTCAGCATTTAGTTATGCCCTTTAAGTGCCCATAATCTGATAATTATCCAGTTTAATTTCTAAACCTTTGTTGTGTTCAAATATTTTTCTTTAAATTTTCTCCTCCAAATTAATCCAATACAATGATTCAAGCCAATTTTATAAAATCAAATTTCCTTCTCACTTTCTTTAGTCACCGCTTCCATACACTTTCCTCCAAAATAAACCTTTATTTTTAATACTGGGGTACCTCAAAAATGATGTCTTTTGCCTAGTTCACACACTGCTTGCTGCTTCTTCTCTCCAGCAGTTTTAGTTTTCCAGAGTGTTCTATGTCTTCGTGGTGGCCATTTTAAGACCACAGCTGCAACTTGCCTTTAGGAGAGGTTTTCCTGTCCGGGAGGAGGGTTGCAACTCCCCTCAACCGTTCAGGAGATTCCTCCCTTCTTCACCACCCTTCCAATCGGGACCCTCCAGCAAGTGAGCTCGGGTGAAACCACGCACGATTGTGGATTCCGCTCTAACTCTGACGACGAACAAACCGGAAGTCATATTGGGAATTTTCTAGTTGACTTGCAAGGTTTAAAAGAGAAATAAATTCACATATTGAGAAATAAAGGACTCTACCTCCTACAGAGCAGTGATCCAGAGATGCAGCTCAATGTAAGAAGTGGGAATAAAACACAGAATCACTAAATTTCAGCAAAACCAGCAGGAAAGCATTGAACCTTTTAAGAAAAGTGAGTGGAGCTAGATAACTGACACAAGAAACATCCAATATAACTCCTGACCAAACAGCCTCTAGTTGTATCTTGCTTCAAAACTTCAACAGTGAAAGGACACTCCAGTCTCACCAAAAAAGCACTTTCACCTTTTTGGTGGTCAAGCACTCTTGCCCGTTCTCTTTAAACGAAATTGTCATTGTCATTGGTAGTCTGAAATGTGGTAAAGCACCAGGCTTTGATGGTATTCATCCAAAATTCCTGATAAACCCTGGGAGGCATGCACGGAACTGGATTGGTAAATTCCTCTCAGAAGTACGTAATTTCCAACGGTTGCCTACCACCAGAATTTTAAAAAGCTAAAATAATATCACCTCTAAAAACTGGCAAACCACTAGACAGAATTGAAATCTACTGCCCAATTGCCCTTTTGAGCTCCTGGTACAATTCCTGGAAAAATTAATTATAAACAGGATAAGTCCCATAACAGATGAACATCTACCATGAAACAAGCCAGCTTCTGACAGGACCAAGTTAGTTAGGTGCTAAGCCTAACAGGCTATATTGAATATCAAAATCAGATATGTGTTCATAGACACAGCTGCAGCATAAACAGTTTGGAAGGATGGGGAAACTGTGCCATATTATCCCCTGAAAAAATTTCTATTGACTAATTGATAACAAGTTGAGTGGTAATAATGGGAAAAGAAAAATAAGGTAAGATTAAACAATACACATCTCTGTAATGGCACCTACACTATTCACCTTATACGAAATAATGCTGGTGACAAGGGGACACAAATTTGGACACACTGATTATTGACCATAGCAGTACAAGAAAAACACATGGAGGTAGCTGACAGCCTCCTATCCAAAGACCTTGAAATCTTGGAAAAATTCTTCACTAACTGGAGGCTCGCTCTTAGCACCAGCAAAACATTAACTATGTGCTTCTACCTTAACAACAAACTAGCAAATGAAGCCCCCACCACCAATCTACCTCATAGGTGGGAAACTATGGCCCCTTTATGACTTGTGGACTTCAACTCCCAGAATTCCTTAGCATAGCTGGCTTAGGAATTCTGGGAATTGAAGTCCACAAGTCATAAAAGGGCCATAGTTCCCCATCCTGATCCACTGAAAGAAAAACTTTCTCCCCTATTATCCCCATTAAAAAGTATCTTGGAGTAACATTGGACCAAAGAATACAGTGGCAAAAAATCAATATTAGGAACAGCATACTCCATAAATTGTGTATAGTCAAGGCTATGGTTTTCCCAGTGGCAATGTATGGCTGTGAAAGTTGGACCATAAGGAAGGCCAAGCACCAAAGAATTGAGGCCTTTGAACTATGGTGCTGGAGAAAACTCCTGCAAGTCCCTTGGAGTGCAAGGCGATCAAACTGGTCAATCCTAGAAGAGATCAATCCTAACTGCTCTTTAGAAAGCCAGATCCTGAAGATGAAACTCATACTTTGGCCACCTAATGAGAAGGAAGGATACACTGGAGAAGAGCCTAATGCTGAGAACGATTGAGGGCAAAAGAAGGGGACGGCAGAGAATGAGGTGGCTGGATGGAGTCATTGAAGCAGTTGATGTGAGCTTAAATGGACTCCAGGGGATGGTAGAAGACAGGAAGGCCTGGAGGAACGTTGTCCATACAGTCATGATGGGTCGGACAGACTTTGAGACTAACAATAACCTTCCACAAATTATGTGTAACTAAATGAGAAGCCTCGATTGCTACCTTTAGGTCATCAGCGCTAAGATTAATCTACTCTGCAGCAGCATACTGTACCCTGGTATGGTTTAACAGATGCCATTCTAGGAAGTTAAGATGACAGACTCAATGACACCATGAAGATGATAAGCAGAGGTATTAAAACCACTCTGGCTTGCTGGCTTCCTGTTCTGAGGAATATAGCACTGCCAGCTTTAAGAAGGCAAGATGCACTAGTGAGGGAATACAGAAAAATTATGAACAACTCCTACCGGTACCTGCCGATCTTTCACATTTATTAGCAAGAAGACTCAAATTCAGGAAACCCACACTGGCACTGGCACTGGCACGTCATCTGCCCAACAACTTTAACAGATTCCCAATGGAAAGCCAAATGGGTTGCTGAACGCCCAGACATAGGAAGACATATAAATGACCCCACAAAAATGGTGCCAGGCTTTGAATGACCATGTTAGCAATGAACAATCCTGAATAGGATTTGCACCTTATATGGCATCTGCCAGGATTCTCTGTATAAATGGGGCATAGTATCTTTCTCAAAGTGTTACTGAGGGTCCCACATCAAACTGTAGATCACATTGTGATTAGCTAAACTAAGGACATATACCAATCTGGAACCTATTTTTTTAAAATATAAACAATCCTGGGCTTCAATGGTTAGATGATCCAGAGATGTTTGAACATAGGTCTTTTTAACATTTATATTTTATTGGATTCTATTAATCTAGATATGTTAATATATATTGCTAATCCATGTATGATATGGCATACACTAAATAAATAAGTTCTCATTTGGAATAGAATACATAATAGAAAGGAATTGGAAAGAAAGATGCTTTTATTCTTATATGCATTGTGTTCGTTAATATGCCTACACAGTGGCAAAATTTGGTATGAAAATTTGGCAATTGGCAAGCTAGTTGATTATTGCAATACCAATAATTTAGAAGGCACGAAATTCAAATGTCCACCGTTTCAGGTCAGTATTCATTTGTCCACCAAACGAAATACCTTGGCCAGTTTTCTACCTTTGGATCTTGTGAACGTCAGCTGACAGAGTATGGACACTTATGTACATGCACATCAATCAATCACCTGTAGAGTATACCAAAGTAAAATTACACGGTATTTCTGTAAGAGACCTAGGGTTGTCTTTCGCCTCCGCACTTTTTTTTTTTTTAAACTAAGGCGTTTATGCATTCCCGCACAAAGGCTGGCCAATTTACAGCCCGATAAGTACAAACACCCACCCAAGGAAGCGCCTACGCTGCCACCCACTCCGCCTGCGGGTAGGCAGGGGAAGCGGGCCTGTTTTGCGCATGATGACGAGACCAACCAATGACGAAGACAACAGCTACTCCAGTATCAACGCGTGAACTGCGGACAGCTAAATAAGCTCGGTCCTGCCCTCCTCCCTGCGAGGCACGGATCCTCAAGCGCCTCTTCCGAGCATCTTTGGCGCCCTCTCTTCGATTGGCGCATAAGGCTCGTTGTTGAGTCAGACATTTAATACATGAGAGTCACGGACTCCTCCTTCGATACTGTAATAATAATCGAAGAAATCCATCACTGCTGTCACAGCCGATCTCAATTACAGTATGCGCGCACACAATCGCCTCTACGTGAATGTAAACAGTAATCTGCACTCCCTTCTATCACGGATGAGGTTACCTAGTTTGGGTAAACGTCTGCAAGAAAACAAGTTCAGAGAGCACCAAAGACACCTGGTATCAATCCAGAGCTGCATATATTATCTTTTATTGATATGATGAATATTTATTGGCTCATTTTAAACATTAAAAAAAAAACCCAATTCACAATAATAAGGGTCAGTGAAATAAATTCCTCGGTGATATTTTCCTTCAAAAGTCTGCGAGGCGAAATAAAGATGGCTTCTCTAAGGAAAAACTAGCTTTTAAAAAAAAATCGTTCAAGGTTATCTATAATTTCCTATCTCTGTGGTTCTTTACCATCACGACATAGTGCGCACGCTCGTTCGTTCGTTCTCTTTTCCCTAAACAGGAACTATGGGGTTGCTACGGAAACGGGTAGACGCTACCCGACGGCTTGGAGAGAAAGAAAGAGCGAACGCGCCTGAGGCAGGCAGACCAAATATAGGAAGGTGAGGGGTTTCTTGGGGAAAAGTCGTTCCTGGCTCATAGTTGTTTAAATGCGAAATGGTTATATGCCCCTCCCCTTTTTTGATTACGATATTTTTACACATGGAGTTTGCTTTTACACATGGAGTTTGCTTTTACACATGGAGTTTGCTTACTGTTATGGGCGCAATTCCATTTCTGGCGATGGCTGCGGCGGTTTTTATACCTTTATGACTCGCTTGTGAAGGACACCTCTCCCCCCCCCCCCGCCATTCCGTTCCCAGTATCACGGGGGAATTCTTACGGTTCTCCTTCACAATAATAGACTTAAAGACAGAGACACACAGGTACATATATATCCCTAGTTAAAATCTGATGTTAAGTAACATAGACATTTTTCACACTTGTTACCTTCTCTGTAATATTTGTATCTATATTAGAACTGCAGCCACTGGAAACTTACCACCTGATGAGCCTGTCAGGGAGGAAAATCGCTGTCTATGATTAGATAGTTAACCTGTTTCATTTTGTGTTGTGCCTTCAGTCAGTTTTGACTTTTGGGGATCAATCGGATAAGTCTTGGCATCATTTTAAAAGTGGTTTGCCACTGTTTTCTTCCTAAAACTGAGAGTGTGACTAGCCCAAAATTACCTGGTTGGTTTTGGGCCTAAGGCAAGACTCTCCAAGTTTCTAGACTGGTCCAGCCTTTAACCATTCCATCAAATTAGCTCTTTTTATTAGGACCATCCAAAGTGTCATAATAGAATCCACCCAAATATGACATCAGGCTAGATAATACAAAAAGCCAAGAAAGATCTACATGATCTGTGTAGATTTAATCTAATAATGCAGATTATGATTATTCCATTTGGTTATTTTATATCATCTTTAGGAGAGGGATTTGTTTAATAACTGACAGACAAACTCACTTGGATTCATTCCCAGTTAGATCTCATGCATGAGGCAATTCCATATGAGATACCTGGGACAAGGTCTTGCACAGTTATCTGGGAATGTTTTGACCCTGTTGGACCTGAGGAAGTGGACAGGATCCTTAATGCTGTCAGTGCCACTACCTGTCAGTTAAATCGTTTTTCCTTTTGGATAGTGACAGCCTCCAGAACAATGACTAGCAGGTGGATTCATCATTACAGGAGGGGACATTTTGAGGGCCTTTTAAGGAGCCCTGGTTCACCCCTTCCTAAAAAAATCCCATCACTTGATCCCACCTATTTGGACAATTTTCGTCCTGCTTCTAATCTTCCCTTTTTAGGAAAGGTGGTGGAAAAGATGGTTGCCTGGCAGCTTAAGAGAGTCCTAGATGAAACAGATTATCTGGACCTCTTTCAGTCAGAATTCAGGCCTGGTTACAGGATAAAAATGCCATTGTTGCATTTGTTGATCTCTGATGAGGGTGAGATGAAAGTAGTTCAACCATCCTTGCTTCCCCTGATCTCTCAGCACCCTTTGATTGACCATGGTATCCTTTTGGGCTGACTACTGGAGCTGGGTGACACACTTTTGCTCTGGTTCAGCTTCTTCTCTAAGGCTGGTCACTATTAACAGGGAATGAAAGATTCAGTTCTCAACCATTATCTTGTGGCATGCCACAGGACTTAGTACTTCCTCCACTTCTTTTTAATATCTACATCAGGGTGTCATGTTGTCATCACATGATGTATCACAACTTTGCTAAATCAGGGTGGGAGTGGTCAGCGCATGATGCATCCAGTCTGAGCGCCGCAACTTTGACACCCCTGATCTACATGAAGCTATTGTGTGCGATCATCCAGCACCATGCATTGAAGTATCTGCAGTATGCTGTGATACTCAATTCCATATTTCTACCCCTGGTGGCCCAAGTGATGCTGTTGATTTTTTTAAGATGCCTGGAGGTTGTGGGGTCTTGAAAGGGGGACAACAGGCTTTGGCTGAACCCTGGCTTTGGGTGCATGGAGCCACAAGATCTGGAACTTTGTCATCTTTAGTTCTGGATGAGGTGACACTACCCTAGAGGGTCCCATCTACAATATAGGGGTTCTCCTGGATTCATGACTCCTGATTGAAGAGCATGTGGCAGTCATGCTAAGAGAGCCTTTGCACAAATTTGAGTTGTGTGCCAGTTGCTACCTCTCCTAGACTAGGAGTCTTTATGGATGAACTATTACAATGTGCTGTCTATGCGGCTACCATTGAAGAGCATTCAGAAGCTATAGCTAGTGCAAGTGTAGTGGCGTGGACACTTCTTGGAGTCCAAAGATGGCCCATGTTACACTACTGCTCCCTGACCTTCATTGGCTGTCAGTTTGCTTCTGTTGGTAATCACCTTTAAAGCCCTTCATGGCATGGATTCAGGCTACTTGAGGAACCAACTTATCCCACTGGGATTGGCTTGCCCCACCCATACCAGCAGAGGAGGCATGCTGCGGACTCCATCAGCCAGGGTATTCCAGCTGGCAGGGTCTAGGAGAAAAAGCCTTCTCTGCCATTGCACCTGCCCTTTGGAACATCTTGCTCCTGAGTGAGGTCGGCTTCAACCCTCCTGACCTTCCACAAGAGCTTAAAGACCTGGCTCTGCAAGTTAGCTTGGGACTTCAATGGAGGGGTTGCACATAAGGGGTGATTGATAGACTACTCCCTCCTTCCCCGCATTCTTTTAATTGGGGTTCAGTAATTGATTCTTTAAAATATATTTTATGTCTTTTAGATTTTGTATAGTTTTTACCTTTTTAAGATGGTAGGTAAGCCACTCAGAAGTACCCTGTGGCAAGATGGGCAGCCAATAAATTTTATAAATAATTAAATGTGTTGATGTCTGCATTGAACATCCATTTTCTTCTGAATCTCTGTTAACCTGGAATTCTATTTTTAAATAATGTATTTGCAACTTGCCAATAGATGATTTATTTAAAAAGCAGTAGGCTTGATCCACACATTAACTACATTTTAGCTTTGGCCTAGTATGTTATGTGAACCTACTATTCTGATTTATAAATTATAGTTTATGAATTACATGTATAAGCTAAACATAATGTTTGTATTCAATAAACCATTGTTAAAGAAGCCATGATTTCATAGACTTGAATCATAATGTGTCTGGAAACCATATCTAATGAGCCAACATCAACATTTTTTATGTTATGAATCAATATTATTCATGGAAATGTTTTCAATGAAAGAGATTAAGTTATCAGTATGAAAACAAAATCTTAATTAACAAAAGCTATAGGAATTTGTCCAGGCAGCCATCAGGAATCAAGTTTGACTTAAAGCTCCTCTCCCTGCAAAAACAAGCCTCAATGACTCAATCCACTTATTTGACATATACAAATTCAAGATTATTTCTTACTGAGTTCAATATGCCTAAATAGAAGTACATTTTATGAGGTGGGATTGGCAAATATAGTCTCCAGCTTTCCAAAATACCTCAGAGTTATACAAGTAAAATTTAGTGACAGAAAGGTTGGACTTCAAGATTATGATTCTTATTTTAAAGGTTTTTTAATTAAAGACCAAAATATGAGGTTTCTCTGTCAATTTTTGTCCTGCCCCTCTTCCCACAGCGAGAAAAAATAATTGGTTCTGCTGATCCAATTAAATTGTAGTGCATGTCCTTTGGAATTCTCAAAGAAAACAAACTTATTTAGGAAAAATGCCAAATTAAAAAAAATAGTTACCCATCTCTTTGTTAGGGCAAATGGTGTCACCGATGACGTATCATAGTTCTTAGTATATTGTTAAGTCATTACATATGCCCAGGAAACAGAATGTTTGGACTTCAAAGAACCAAAGTATTTAGCTGCAACTGAGTTTCTCTTTGCCTTCTCTATAATATAACCTTCCATTTTTCTCATGTCCTTTCCTCCCCTCTCTAATTACCTTTCCTTTTCCCTTCTCCTTCTACTTTACATAGAGTGACAAGCCTGCCTCTAGAGGATCGATTCTGCACAACACAGCACAGCAATGAGAGGGCAACAAAAGCTGAAGTGATCCTGAACGTAAGAGCATTTAGAATTAATAGAACTATTAACACAGGAAAGAAAGTTGAAACCATAAATAGCCCTGCTTCAGAGAAGACATTAAATAAAATTTACATGACAGCAATTATAACAGTTTGCATGCATGCAGCATGGTATCCAAAGTTTCAACTCACTATGCTATTTGAATTCAAAGTGAACTATATGTTGAATCTCTTTAATTTTGATAAAAAGGATGCAAGAAAATGTTAGTTCACATGTGATAGTGATTAATAGGAAAATACAGAAATTAAGTAGCGCATTGCATTCTGATAGAAACTCTCTAATAGTTTTAGAAACAAGAAATCACATATATGCTGCTTAATTAGGACTGTATTATAGATTCAGGAAAAACTTTTATTTCAGCACTGGACCTACATAACTAATGTCAAAGTGCCATTCACCTGAGATAGAATGGATGATTAGATTTCTGTCTGCAAAGTACAGGTAGTCCTCAATATACAACAGTTCATTTATTGACTGTTCAAAGTTACAACATCACTGAAAAAAATATGACTA